TTCCACAATCACACAGCCTGGGGCCTGCGCCAGAGAACCTTCTCACCAGGTCTTCTCCTTCCCAAGAGTCAGTCTCGGTCCTCACACATCTGAGCGCCATTGTTGGACAGCTGGGTCTGGAGCCCAGGAACTTTGCTCTGTCTCTGGTGCTCATATTGCTCCCAGCAGATGCCTTAGCATGGGGGAGGGGAAGGTTGGTTCTGAGCCTTTGGTGGCTGGGTCACCCAGATCTTTTAACACTCCCAGAGTGGAGATCTTGGGGGCGGGGAGGCTTAAGGGATCTCAGGGTTTGGGGCTCCTCAAATTGGTCTCACATTGAATTTCCCACTAGACTTATCCAGGGTGGGTAGGTGTAAGACATATGCATCCTGAGTCATGGTGTAATGTAGGGAAAGGGAGACTCACCATGTGGGGGGGGGGTGGAGCTGAACAGATGTATATGATCATAGTGTGTCCTTGTGTGTTTATTATTGTGAGTGTTGGAATGATGCAAATACTATTGTACAACTGCCATGGTATGTGTGTGTGAGAGAGATGGTTCCAGATTTGAACTCCGGGCTTGAGAGATGTCTCTGAGTTTTTGTGCTCAAAGCTAGCACTCTACCATTGAACCACATTTCCATTTCTACATTTTTTTTTGTCTGTTTTTGGTGCCTGTCCTGGGGCTTGAACTCTGGGCTTGGGTACTGTCTCTGAGCTGCTTTTTGGTCAAGCCTAGAACTCTACCACTTGAGCCACAGCACCTCTTCTAGCTTTTTCTGTGATTAATTGGAGCTAAGAGTCTCATGGACTTTCGGCTTCCAACCTGATCCTCAGATCTCAGCCTCCGGAGTAGCTAGGATTACAGGTATGAACTACCAGCGTCACCTGGCAACAATTACCTTTTGAGGGCTTGCCAATGTGACTATATTGGTAGGGCTAAGAATATAATGCCAAATTGAGTGTGTGGAATTTGTGTGCCTATATATAATATTTGAGCATATTGGCCCACCCCCCTCGCTCCATTTGTCTGTCCCACCGTCCCTTACGCCCCCCAAAACCATGACCAAACAGGTGTCAGCCATCTGACATTCATTTTGTTAAGTCATTAGCTGTTCAAAGGAGTTGCAATGCCGAGTAAGTTTTGTTTGTTTCTGTTGTTGTTGTTTTTTTTAATTTTGGTCTGGCATCTAATCAAATTTTTAGCCTGTCTGATCCTCTGGGCAGCTGATACTAGTCTAGTACGCTCAGGTAGTAAAGGCTAATAGGATGAATTCTTGTAAGTGTCGGGCTGTGAACGCCATTTCCAAAAAGTGCCGCAAAAATACAAGCAAGTGGGCCTGTCATTGTGACAGAAAGAATATGTGTCAATCCCTTCCTCTGCGGGGTATTATTGAGATTTTATGGAAACAATAGTTTTTTGTCGGTCGTGGGGCCTGAACTCTAGGCCTGGGCGCTGTCCCTCAGCTCTTCAGCACAAGGCGAGCACTCTACCACTTGAGCCACAGCACCACTTCTGGCTTTTTTCTTTTTGCTTATGTGGTGCTGAGGAATCGAACCCAGGGCCTCAGGCATGCAAGGCGAACGCTCTACCACTTGAGCTACAATGCCACTTCCTATTATTGAGAGTTTATATTGCCTCAACTCTCCATGGCTGTGGCCCTGGGAGCCAGCCTCTAACTGTAACCCCATCTGTAGCTCTGTAGCGCAGAGAACCATCTTGTCACTCTTTGAGAGAAATGAAATGTAAACTCTGGGAATGGGGGAGATACTGCACGAAGCGTGTGTTAGCTGTCAGTGTGTGGGATGCACATATTTGGGGGCATCTAAGG